ATAATGAAACTTAGGCAGAAGTTCAGCTGAATAAATGGATTATTCGCCTTCATTTCGCCAATCAGCATTGAACCATGCCTCTATGAAAGCCAAACACATTTCAAATTTAATCTCAAAAGGCCTCCGATCCGCAACTCGTCTGCTACTTAGTGTGCAGGCGGTGGTTGAGCCGTGTGATTTCATTCAGATGACCGCGTTTCAACCCACCTCCATCCCCTCCTCCACCATCTTGCTGAATGAGTTTTTCAGATTGAAATCTGTATATACCTTTTATATTTCTTTGTTTTCTGACTTCTTACAATTACTCTCTGTTTATATATACGTTTATAATCAATACATATATAGTCTTTGTGCGCATGTAAATAAATATTTATATCCTTATAGCACTTCTGGATAGATGCAAACTACATTTCATTGCTTTGTACTTGTGACTTGAATTCTACTCTATTCTATTCTCAAAAGTTTGGAAACCACTGCTTTAGTAATGTGTGTCCATCATTTCATCATCTAAAGGCTGGCTTGTTTCCCATGCTTCTTTGGTAAATGAATTGATAGATGGACAGCAACTATAAACATTTATTTCTAAAGTCTTGCTACAAATTCTGATCTGGAATTAGTTCTGGACTTCATGAATATGCTCTGATCTAAACTATTTCTTTGCATCCCAGGATATGTTTTATATTTAGGACATTGTTCAGGTTTTTGGGAAGGGCCTCTCGAGTGATTTATTGGAACCGTAGAATATTTTTAATTCGTTATCAAAAGGTTCTGTTTTTATGATTAAACTCACTCCCATGTGTTTTTTTTTTCTTCTGCATGAAGGTACCTAGAATAATCCTGTGGTTGATGGTGGAGCTGGCGATCATCGGCTCAGACATGCAGGAAGTCATCGGCTGTGCCATCGCTTTCAGCCTCCTGTCCTCTAACAGGTGTGGTATACAGACACAAAGGATTGGGTGGATAGCTGCTCATAATTACGATCAGACCTACTTTCGTTGTCAACATTTCTGCCGTGTGTGCTTTAATGACAGGATCCCGCTCTGGGCCGGTGTGCTCATCACCATTGTCGACACCTTTGTCTTCCTCTTCCTTGATAAGTACAGTAAGTCATATGACTGGTAAAGCTGTAATCACATTATGAATAAACACTTTATACATTAATAAAGGAAGAGTTCATTGATTTGTGTGTTTTTCTGCAGGCTTAAGAAGACTGGAAGCCTTCTTTGGTTTTCTTATTACTATTATGGCCATAACCTTTGGATATGAGGTACTGATGTTGGTTTGCTATTTTGTCTTCACTTTATTGGCCAATCAGATCTATGGAATAATAGAACAATAGAATATAGAATAATAGAAACAACAGAAACAGCTCTGGTTTTCTGTAAATGCTCAGTGTGTGTAAATTGACACTCTACTTTAAATTATCGATGTTAAGGCTCTGCATATTATTTTCATGAATCCAGGTTTATTTATGTCCACGAACCTTTTCTGTTGTCTTCATGTTTTTATCCCCACAGGTAGTTCCATCGACAATACACTCACAAAAATATTTCAGCCAAATTTTAAGATGCACCTAATTTTATTATATAGCATAATCCCACTTACTTTTTTTTTTAGATATTATTATCACAAACTTCATAAATAAACTTTATATAATTCATATTATATTATATTATTCATTTAAAATGCATCATTTTCAGGTTTATGTATTTAGAATTAATCAAACATACTGACTCAAAATTGATACTAATATGTTTATTTATTTCAAATACATAAAGTTTATTGTTTCAATTGCATATCAATCAGGGATGCCCTTTATGCATTTCCACAACTACATTTATTTAACATTTAAGTAAAATTCAGTAATTAGTGTTAATTTTATACTTTATTAATACTAAACACATAAACCCGATGACTGTGTATTTTAAATAAAAGGTTTATTTATTAGCTTTGTGTTAAAATTATCTAAAAAGGTAGATGGGAATTTGTTATGCAGTAAAATAACATAAATCCTAAAATTTGTGTGAAATATTTTTGTGAATGTATCCTTTCTCTATTACAGCCACTCTTCTTATCACATGCCCAAAACATCTAACCCACATCTCTCTAACTCTAACAGGCGACTTTCTTCTGCAGTCAGTTGTTTTTTTGCCTTTTTATTTATATTTTTTTGCATATATGCAATGATGTCATCTGCATATATTTGAGATGTAGCTTAGTTCTTTTCTGCAGTCTTGGAGCTAAATGTGAAAGTGACTGTCACCTCCATATGGTCTTCTCACCAAAAGAGAAATAATTAATAATTGAACTTTATTTATCTCACACTGGAGAAATTCACTTTATTGACCCATCCCCTTGGAGAGCAGTGGGCTGCCAATGTGTGGTGCCCGGGGAGCAGTGTGGGGTTAAGGGTCTTGCTCAGGAACCCAGAGTGCAGGCTATCGGGTTCTAACTGGGTACTTGCACCCTTCCCAGAGCATAAGCACATGTTCTATTTTTTTATTCTACATTGGACTTGTGTGATGTGGTTTTTATAATCTAATTTCTAATTTCCATTGAGGGTTTGTGTCATTAAGTAACTGAAGAACATTTGTACTTTGGCTGATTTTGAGACATCAGGCGACATTGCATTATAGAGATGTTTTTGTCAGCACAGAACACAGATGATCTCATGTGTTATTATGTTATATATAGGCTAAGATCTTCTTGGCTGAGCCGTGTGTACGGTGTAACGCTTAGAAATCCTCCACTCACATGAAATAAGTTATCAGGTCTTATGAAAAAAGCTGTTAGGGCACAGATTTCACATAAAAAATTTTGCAGGTCTCATTAAAAAAAAGAAACTATCAGTTTTCAGGTGTTTGGAATAAGCGTATCAGGTCTTAGGTCTCAGCAAACGACAGAGCTTTTGTTTAGATTCAGTAAAATCTTCCCCAATAGAGCAGATTTTTTAGTTTAACAAAGCTACAACTAAGCTGCTCAGGTTGGTCAAGATTTCACTGCATTTAAAAAACCTTCAGAGATCATACCTTTCCTTTTATAAGTTTATTCCTAAGTCTGATGACTTATTTCCTGAAACCTGAGGATGTCCTTAAATGTACGCCATACTTTTGGCTCTCTGTTGTTTGTATTATAAAGTTTCACCACAGAGTTTCCTAAATGCATTATTAACTTTCTGTCACTGAAATATGAGTTAGATCTGAGTAAATTCAGTTTGGCTCTTGTAGTAAACTCCTGCAACATGCCTCATCCTTCTGACCCTCTCTGCCTGTCGTTGTCTGGTTGCACCTTGTATTCATGCTTTAAATGTGGATATAAATATTTTTGAGTAGTTCTAAAGTCAATGGCCTTACTGTTCTGCTGCAGTATGTGACGGTGGCTCCTGACCAAGGACAGCTGCTGAAGGGGATGTTTGTGCCGTACTGCGAGGGCTGCGGACCCGTTCAGCTTACTCAGGCTGTCGGCATTGTGGGTGCCGTCATCATGCCTCACAACATTTACCTCCACTCTGCTCTTGTCAAGGTCAGACAGCACCTGAAGTCAGTCTATCATCAGCCCCATAAAACCTAATCACTGAGTGACCAAATGTGCTTTAAAGTCTCGAGAGGTGGATCGCTCGAAGAAGAAAGAAGTAAAAGAAGCAAACAAGTATTTCTTCATCGAGTCGGCCATCGCTCTGTTTGTCTCGTTCCTCATCAATGTGTTTGTGGTCGCCGTCTTTGCTGAGGCGTTCTACCAGCGCTCAAACATCGAGGTGGTGAGTATCTCTGCATTTGCTCTCCTTGTTTAATAAGAGCTTCATATTACAATGTTCTCTGAAACGTTTTTGGTTGTTTTATGACATCAGTTTAACACCTGCAACCAATCAGGAAGTTATCAACCCGACCTGTTCCCTCTGAACAATGAAACTCTGGAGGTTGACATCTACAAAGGGGTACGTCTTGCATTCACATCATGTACAGCAGTTAATCAGTACATCTATAAAAGCATTTCATGGGATGGACCTGGTTTTTATTGTCTGTTCTGTGTGTGTGCACGTCTGTAACAGGGAGTCATCCTGGGCTGCTTCTTCGGCCCAGCAGCGCTCTACATATGGGCGATTGGGATTCTTGCAGCCGGTCAGAGCTCCACCATGACAGGAACATACTCTGGACAGTTTGTCATGGAGGTCAGTTAATGGGGAGTGAGCGACATACACATACATACAAGATAAGAGCCATAGCTTTACCTGAAACTACTCCTGGCATCTGTAAAGCTCTGGTGTGTTACTATCTCCTAAAACTGTACCTTTTTAGCAGGGGTTGGAAGAGTACTAAAAAATTGTAATTAAGTAAAAGTATCTTTACCGTGCCTAAATTCTACTCAGAGTAAAAGTAAAATTACCCATCTCAAAATTTACTCAAGTAAAAGTACAAAATTACGTCATTTAAAATGTAATTTGAGTAAAAGTTACTTAGTTACTTTGAGTTATTTAATGCAAAAAAAAGGATGAGTCATGAATCGAATTAAGCACAAGGTGTTTTAATCGATTTCAAGGCGTATTTCAGTGGACATCCACACTTGCAAAAGATCAGCTGGGCTAAGGAACATACTTCCTCACAGCACAAGGACAGTCACAACCTTTACCATAAAGTGCAAACAATTTTTTAATCCTACTGTCCAACAGACAACACCATGATAACTAACTTACTGCCACATTTTTTTGTAAATTGGATGTTGATGTTTTAAAAGCCGAAAGCTCAGTTTTGCTGAGCAGGCACATGTTGCACTGCATTATCAAATTGTTCCCTTTTGTGCATTTGAAAACAAATAATTCTTCCAAATATGGCCAAGGGTTTTTCTGGCTTTCGTCTCCAGAATATGTTTCCTCTTCAGGCCTTTCCTCATCCATACTCCCTAAATTGTGATTAGCAACTACCATCTTCCGAAGCGCAGCACTGGATTATGAGACAATACAAAGGGTAATTGCAAGGCAGGGCCACATTTAATTTTTTCACCATCAGTATTTTTTTTTTTTTTTTTTACTCAGTAACGTGAGGGGGTTTTAAATGTAGCAAAGTAAAACTACTTAGGTTAAAATTTACACGAGTAAAAGTAAAAATTACATATCTCAAAAACTACTCAGAAAATTAGAAATTACTCATAAAAAGTACTCAATTAGAGTAACTTGAATAGATGTATTTCATTACTTTGCACCCCTGCTTTTTAGTTGATGCATGATGTTCGTTCTCAGGGTTTTCTGAACCTGCGTTGGTCCCGTTTTGCTCGAGTGTTGCTGACTCGCTCCCTGGCCATCATTCCTACGCTGCTGGTAGCCATTTTCCAGGATGTGCGGCACTTGACCGGCATGAACGACTTCCTCAATGTGCTCCAGAGCATGCAGGTTAGATAACAACTTAAACTGGTTCAGCCAGATCCAATTACCTGTTTTAAATGTTCAAAAAATAAGGGTGGAAATGAACTAAACCCAGCTACCATTACCTAGTTTTGCATTTTATTGGGGAATATATTAATTAAAATTGAAAAAATTGTTAACAATAGTAAGTGGATGACTTGAGTTCCTTAGTGATTTCATTTTGTTAAGGACTTTCAACAGATTCTACCACCTAAGCTGTGGATCTCTGCAGCTCTGACTTCATATTCTATATTGTTATAATATGAATATTATAATAATATGAATCCATTAAAATGCAATGATTAGTAGAAGCATATTCATATGTAGCTTTAAGGTTTCATTGTTTTCATGGCCTTTAATGGTCTCTTGTTCAGAGTTGTTTGTCATGGGAGTTTTTTCTTTAGTGGGAAAGTGCTAACACTAGCTGTAACTGTCTCTTCCCTTTTCTGGGGCAACAAATCCACTTTACATGTATTACTTTCAGCAAACAAGGTGGAAAGAGAAAGTAAGTCTTTCTCTCACCAAATGTTATTGGGTGTTTCTGCTTTTTGGGAAAAGCTCTTTTTTGGAAACATTCTAAATGCAATTTATTATCAATTCCCACCTTCAACTCACAATACAAGCAGATTTTTAGACAACTTAAAGACACATGCTAAAGAAGAAATCAACTGAAGTGTTTTTCCCCCTCCTTTGTAAAATAAGATCTGTGCAGTTATAGTGCCTCCCACTGGATTATTTAGGTAAAGATTCCTGCCACAGATAGACATAAAAACACACACAGCCAAAGCTTAACATTTGTTTTAAGGGATTGCCTAATTTAAAAGAACAGTGTGTGAGATCTACCTTCATCTAGTGAATCACAGACTGGTGCCTCTCTGTATGATTTACTTTCTACTCTTTCTGAATGGAGGGGACACATCAGCTTATGTCAACCTTGACAGATCAGTTAAAAAACAATGAAAACATGACACATTTCTCTGAAAACAAGATTGAAAACAACCTACACTCACAAGCTGGAATAACTTCTATGAAGAATGACAGCAACTATTGTATCGTAGCTCGCCCAATGTAGGCTAACAAACAAACTAGCTGTTGCTGATGGGGGGAAGATTGCTTGCTGAACTACACCTCCCTGTTTCTATCATAAGGCCAAAGAAACTTTACTAATATACTGACTTATATTACATGACCAACAGAAAGCCTGAAACCTGTGTGTCCGTTTAGAAGCCCCGTCCCCCTTATAAATTGTATCCACCTGGTAAAAGCTGGCTGATGTGGAGGATTTTTTTGGTTTGTTTCTTTTTCCTCTCTCTGGATAAAGGGTATTGATGGTCGGAGAATGTTGAATTATCTATATTTGTATTGTTGCTTGTTTTAAACACATCTCCCAATGAACACATGTTTTCAGATACAGATAAAACCTGAGAAGTTTGTTCCTTTTCACTTTGATCAAAAATGGAGACACAACATGGCATCTCTCATTGGGTGTATTTAATAACTACTAACTCTAAGCCATGAAAACACTTTAATTTTTTAAGGGATGCAATTAGACATTTACAGAATATGTATTATGTGTTTGTTAAAGCTATAAAGCAAAATGTGTTACACTGTCCCTTAAAAAAAAAATTACATTATGCAAATTATTTTAGCTTTAATTGAAAATGTCACTATTATTCTAAACTTTTTTGCTGTATTTAGCAAGTTTAACATAACATAAGATAATATTACATAAATTAAAAGCAGCTTTGGGTGCACAACAGTCCAACTTTGAGAAAAGATCATGAAAAAATAGATGTTTTGTTTTAGATTATTTTAGTTTTTTGGAGGGGCAAGGGTGTGCTATTGTATGTAGTGTAGATAGGCTAGTGTTTCTTATTAGTTATTAAGCCCTGAGGATGACCTTTCTGGACCTTTTTAATCCAGTGTGTTGAATATTTTGTGTTGTAGTGTCTGATTACAGGTCACTAGATTTGAAATGAACATATCTATAAGTGGACTGGGTGCTGTCTGGTGACAGATCACTACCACTGAAAGATTTTAACCCATCTGCAAAAAAAAAAAAAGTGAATTTCCTTATTCAAATTCTCCATTTCTAACTGCCTGTGCTGAATGGCTGCATTTCTATTATTCTTGAGTTTGCAGTCAGATCATTGCACAAAGCAGCCTCCGGGTGACTCTTTGGACACCCCTTGTATGACCTAACAAACACCACAAACCTAACCTCAATCTTTCCCCCCCCAGCTGCCATTCGCCCTCATTCCCATCCTCACCTTCACCAGCCTGCCTTCTCTAATGAATGACTTTGCCAACGGACTGTAAGTGGATCACAACGTACCCAGAGTTAAATCAGTTCCTCCTGTTCTGTATCCTGCTCACTGTATCTCCGCTTATCTCTGCAGGACGTATAAAATAGGAGGAGGGCTGGTGATCCTGTGTGTGTGTGCCATCAACTTGTACTTTGTGGTTGTCTACGTGACTGCACTGAACAGTGTGTGGCTCTACGTGCTGGCTAGCTTCCTCTCCATAGCATACCTCACATTTGTGGGCTACTTGGTGAGTGGCATGGGGCTGCAGGATTGATTCTTTGAATTTCCAATATTCATTTAGATTTATACACCTTACATAATTGACTCAAGTCTCATATATAGGTTGGCTTGTTTTGTCAGCAAAGATTGACACTATACTTCATTTAACCATTTTGTCACCATGAAGCCCCCTTAATTTGGTCAAAATGGGAGCATTTTGCACTTATTAACTTGCTAATTAAATTATCTGGATTTTTTTCATTTAAATCCATAAGTATAAGATATCGAAGTCCAGTAAATAAAGCTACAAATGCACAGCATTTGTATTAAGTAAAAAAATATGTACTCTAATAATATGTTTTAAAAAACATATCTTGATAAAGTGCATAAAATGTTTGCAATTAATCTTGATTAAAACATTATTTATAGTTCAGAGTTATAGTTTTTGTGGATCTACAGGTGTTAACCTGCTCATTGCAAAGAGAAAAGATCATTTTGTTAGATTCATTCTGAATTTAAACATTATTCTATTGTTATAACATATTCTAATGTTATATTTTTTCTAGTAGCATAAATGTTGGTTTTATATTTACAACAGGGAAAATAACACATTTAATATTTTTTTTAAATAAAATAAAGCAGCGTTTAGCTTTTATTAAACCAATGACTAATGGTTTAATGGTCATGGTGGGTTACAGCAGTGCACTTGTGCTCTGAGAAGGGTGCAAGTACCCGGATCGATCCCCACAGCCTCCACTCTTGGTTCCTAAGCAAGACCCTTAACCCCACACTGCTCCCCGGGCGCCATACAATGGCGGCCCACTGCTCCCAATGGGGATGGGTTAAATGCAGAGATAAATTTCTCCATTGCGAGATCAATAAAGTTAAATTATGACAGATAACCATTGATAAATATAAATTAAATAACAGGTGATTTCGATATAGTCATGCAATAATTTCGGCCTAACGACAAACAGGGTGGTTTTGGATTCTAACCTACAGTGATGCAGAGTTAGAGGTGACCTGGATGTTATGGATTTGAGGAGTAGATGTTTTCTTCGTACATTAGAGACTTGACACTGTAATGGTCTATAGTTCTGGCTGAAATGCAAACTGACGCATTCATTCTGAGATTCTAATGACAAATTTGAGGCAGATGAACTGCAAACAGGTGAGGAGACATGGAGATCAACTAAGGACCTGCTGCAGTCTAATAACCGAATCAGAGCTTCAGTAATTGGGGAAAACAGGTGCAAATGTTAAAACAAATAGGAAAAACAGGTTCATAATATAACTGGATAATAAGGGGAGGAGCCTGGCTGAGGGAGAGATGATGCATGGATAAACCTATCCACAAATACAAACATAAAGGTAAAAATAAACAAATTAAAACATTAAGAAATACACAAGAGAAATAAACTAGAAAACACCTGATAATAGGTAGACAAACAGAACTAATAAAGGAAAAACACCTGAACATCTCTCCTATGTGTCAGTTTCCACCTCTTTAAAAAAAGTAAAAACTTATTAATGGGAAGGAAAGTGGAAGAAGATGGATGCAAAACACTTAGGTTGTAAAGACAGAGTCCACATGATTGTTATTGATGGTATGTTCTGTTCACTTGTTAAACTTTTGTTCTGTACCGACTACAATTGCCTTTGATACTGTAGTTTCCTGAGTAGCGAAGCCATAAGCTTGACCCTCTTTTCTCCTCTGTAATCCACTTGATGGTTAAAAAAAAACAACAACAAAAAAAACAAACGGAATCCTCTAGGTTCAACCATTTACTTCAAAAATAAAAAACAATACAGGTATTACATTTCCATTAAAAATTAAATAATAAAAGAAGATTAGGACAAATATAAATGAGGTCAATAAACTGTGTGGCTCCACTCCAATTACCTGAACCTCATTACTATTAGAAACCTTTAACTTTCTGATATATACTGTAACCTTTGAATGTTTTTTTTTATCTTATCTTAATCTAAATTTAGGCTCCTACAGATCCAATAATAGTAAATATGAAAGGAATTAAATTGGACGTGTTACGCGTGATCGCATAATCACTGCAAAGCAGGGACTACGTGACCTCATTAAACAAGAAATGTTCTCTGTGTTATCGGCCACCTTCATCTGACAGATACGACCTTTGACATGTGTGCGTGTGCTCCCGTGTCGCAGGTATGGCTGTGTCTGATAGCACTGGGAGTGTCCTGCCTGGATCCAAGCACCAGGAGAGGAAACGACACGACCATCCTCATAGACCAGCAGTCGGAGTTTGACACCTGAGTCAGATGTATGTTAAAGTGGATCATCGGTGCAGCTGCTAACAGGGATCTGGACCTTTATCTGGGTCTCTAATACTACAGTTTATTTACATCAGAATGGTGCTTAAGATGTTTTTACTATTCTGTAATTTATAATGCATTTTTTATTGTCTGTATCTTTAATGAAGCAGAGGTGGAAAAAGTTGAAGGAAACAAATTTTCCAGTATTTCAAAGCACCAGGATGGAATTGTCAGAGTCAAATCGCTTTAAAAACAGCTATGACTCACCATTGCATGGATATGAGACACCCCATCAGGTTGTGTAGATGTGCTGTAGGAGCTCTCTAGCTTCCTTGCTTGTATACAGCACTTTTTAGTAATCAAAACCTCTAAAAGTTTCCACATCTTGTCACCTTAACACCAGAACACCAAAGTATTTATTATAATTTTATTACTTTATAATTAAGGGATAAGTGGTTATCAGAATTTTATCTGTTGAGATTCATTTTCAAATCTCCACTTTGACTAGACCTTTCTGACAATCTGTCCTGCTGGAAGGTTAAGTGTCGTCCATCCAGCAGGACAAATCTATTGCGTAGATATTTTCCAGGATTAGTTTGTTGTTAGTTCCATTTACCCTCTAATTAACTCTGGCCCATTTTCCTGCCCACCTTGATTAATCGAATCACCACAGCATCATGCTGCCACCACCGTGCTTCACCACAGGCACCCGTACAAAGATAACCTTTGACCCACTGGCTTTAAAGTGAATTGGACGGGCTTGTATTACATTTAGGCCCTGAACAATATCTGCCTATAGAGGTGAACTGTATTAGTATGAGTTTGATTTAACATGAATTTCTGCCTGCCGGTTTAGGTTAGTCATGTTTTGACTGGAGCAGTTCTGCCACATTCTTTTCATGTTCAGATGATGACTTGAACTAATGTGAATTGAAATGTTCAGCTTCCTGTATCATTTCAGAACCCAGCCCTTTTCTAAACCTCTCCTCAACATTCTTCCTGACCTGCCACTTGTGTTCCCTGGTCTTCATGCTCCTTTATTCACTGATTTTCTCTAACACAGCAAACTTGGTTGTAATTTATTTAGGGATATCGGAGTTAGGAGGTGGTATAATGCTTGCCCCACTTTCCAGACTTGACCCGCCCTCTCCACAAAAAATGCACCTGCACAACCTTGTAACCGCTTCCGAGAGGGAACGCCTATAAAACTCGTGCGAGAGCATGCACGTGCTCATTTCCTCTCGTGCACGCTCTGTTTAAAAGTTGCTGTTTGCATCGCATATACAGGTTTACTGTACCCAAACGTCCACCCTTAATCCCTCAATCACTATATAGAGCAGGGACTATTTAGTGAAATTTATAGCGAACTCAGTTAACTTACCGTTCGGACAGATGATCACTGCTTTTTTGCTCCCCGTGGGTCACATAACTCGGCCTCCATCACGCAGTGCCTACGCCATCTTTGTTATTAGTCGCCGCTGTAAGGTCAGCAAACGATTCCGGGATATATCTGCCTCTTCTGAGGCTTTCTTTTCTTCTCATACACTTCGTAGAAACTTTTTCTCTTATGACCCTGGGTCATTTTTAAAGAACCACGGTGAGAAAGGTGAGCTTCATTGACTGTCTGAAACCGTAGCTCATCACTGATATACGCCTGAAAGTGCACATGAGCAGAAAAAGATAGCTAACGGGACGAGCATGTGGGACGGCCTTTACGTAAACATATCGCCAGAAAGATTGACAATTAGGAGGACCACTTATTTTGATAATCCATCCGGAAATAAAAGATCATCCTCCATACCTTTGAGTGTTCACTCTTATGCACTACTGTATGTTTTGAGACATGATCCATGCATGGCAAAATATGAAAAACTGTAAAGGTAAAATCTTAAATAATGTTCTAGTGATTGCCAATATTCATTATTTTCTATGAAATTTGACATTCTAATAAGAAGATCAGTGTTATTAACTTGAAAGGTTTGAAAACACGCCCAGATTTTTGTATTTTAATATACCAATTTCATTCTGGGGTAGAATCATGCTGTGGATTTACTTTTAATTTGATTAACAAATTAGAGGGATTAACAGCTAAAGCAGGTCATCAGTAGTATTAGGGGAAAAAACACTAGTAACACTAAGTAGCTTCATTTATAGCCACAGGGAGGCAGTGCAGAGCACCACAGAGAGATACCATGAACGTAAACACAGCTTACAACCAAACCCAGCAGATTAAAGGGCATGTTTGTGTGTTGTGACAGAAGCTGCCTTGCTTTGCCCAACATACCAGACTGCAGGGTTGCAGTTACTGGATCAGACTGTAATATTTAGGGTGTTTATCCAAAGGTGCTGCTGTTGCACATGCCTGTGGTGGCGGCATGTCTGAGAAGCAGCAAACATTGTGTAACATGGAGCAGGCGCTGTTGGTCTCAGTGCTGCCTGAATTCCAGCCTTGGAGGGATTCAGTCTTTACAAGCTTGATACACAGAAAGGTGGAAGGACAGGTTTTCCTTTGGACTTAGATGAGGAACTTTAATCTCTGTTTAACTCTATCTCTCTCTCGCTGTCTCTGGCTCCCTGTTATGGAGGCCGGGTTATGTAAGAGGGGAGAGTGTTCCCACCTCCCTTCTCTGTTTTTGTTTTTCTCAATGAGCCAATGTCTCCCTGCTTAGGCCTCACAGCCGGTCCAGTCCTGTAGGCCCCTTTTCCTGGAAATACAGCCTTAGCAGAGGCCAGTCAGGGGCAGGCCTGTGAGGGTGGTGGCGGTGGGGGGGTTCTTCCAGCAAATCACATGATTGTTCACCCTTCAGTCCCTGCCTTACATGAGACTCAGATGCTGCAGCAATATGCTACCAGCTAGATTACATTCAACAAGGCTGAATGTTTGCTGTTGTACAGCAAAGAGCTTAAATGTGGAAGTATATGCAGGTGGGAAGGGTAGTAGAAGATTCTCAATCATTAATTTAAAATAAATATATGTGTATTAGTTGTTTTTCTTTACTTTATTTATCTGGGACCATGCAAAAGAACACTGAGCTCTGAGGGAAAAGATTATCTGCATCATCTTTGCAGCTAATTTCCATTTCCAGTGGTTTAAACATTAGTTTCTGAGGCTACTAGTGTCAGGAAGAAAATGTTTTCTTGTTATAAATATACAGAAATGCAGTAGTTTTGTTCAACCATTTTTTATTTTATGTTTTTGGTTTTGTTCGGTGAGCAAACAGTTTTGAATTTGTACACTGCGTCACCTTGTGGCTGATTTAAATCTCAAATTTCTCTTTTAATGCTTTTAGACATTTGAAATGTTTTTTATGTTTTGCTGAAGCGTTTCCTAACAAAAAACAAGTAGTTTTAATAAATTAAACTGTAAAAAAATTTAACATGTCAAAGTGTTATCAACAAATGTATTGACCAAAAATGGAATCTTTTTTTTGCATTTTTTTTTACTGAGTTTTAGAGAATATGTTTATGTCTCACAGTGGGGATAGTCAGGTTTGATGGTTACAGAAAGCAGCTTACAAGAAGAAACAAAACTTGTGAAAAAGACTAGATGTGAAAATACTTAAAATTAAAGATGTAAAGTAGAAAAGAAAAAAAAGATATAAATACTGCACTTATATTAATAAATTTTTTTGATGTAAAACAATAGAACTTATTTACCTTAAAAGAAAAACAGTAGTTAGTTTAAATAATGGAGAAAACTGCAGAAAACATGGTGGAAACTGAGACTTTCAGAACAACTAGAAAACTGAATACATATTAATTAGCATCTGTGTACCATAACATTGGTAAAAGGCATATTAAGCAGATTACAAACCAGATCAACAACCAGTGCAACCAGTAGCATGTTTAAGACCTTACTTACTTACTTGGCCTGTTGGGAGCAGGAAAGATTATGAATTCTAACAGCAGCTGAAAAATATAGAATCAATGGAAGCAAAACTTTATGTGTCAAGGAGGCAACATTCTGTCACTGAGTGATTGACAGATTTTTTATCTAAAATTGTTCTTTTTAATGTTTGCATCACTTGTCAACTCTTCTTGCTATAAAGATGCAAAGTTTTCCCACCTCACATGTGCTGTCCTGTAATATTTGAAGCATTCAGTCATCCAGCTAATTTGTGAATGTTTTGGTAACTATACAGCCTTTAAAAAAAAAGAAATTACATAAAATGTCACTGCTTATAGAAATTAAAAGATAGCCGTAAATACAAGCACCTTTTTCTTCTATTTTGGTGGTCAGGAATGGATGATTGGAAACTTTAATTTTAATTTGACTTTCATCTTTAAAGAAAAAGGGAAATCCCAGACAAGAAACGATGCCTAAATCTGCCTTTCCAGCCTTAATGATGTGTCCTAAAGATGTCCATATGTGATCAAAGTGAAACTTCCTATATTCCTATATATAATGTTAGAAATTAAGGTGGTAATCTAATCTTCATGGTTTTCTCAGCTCTGTAGGCCCATAAGGCTTCCATTTCCATAGAGCACTGTTTTCATTCATGTTTTTGTGGCCAAAAAGGGCATCTGTTGATGCATTATTTTAGTTAATTTTGAGAGATATTTTACTGCATCAGTTGTTTTATACTTAACTTTTTGTTCAGAACATCAGTTTAAAACTTCTAAGATATCCAATAAAAAGAAATCTTGATTATTTCCTATGTGTATTAAATTAGGAAACATTTGACTGTGGGAGGCGCTGTTTCTGGGAGAGACTAATGTAAATAAACAGAAGTAATTGAAATGAAAAAAATCTCCAAAATTTATCAGAGCTTTAATGAGGATAAGTAATTAAATTATGTTTAGATGGCAGGTGAGACCAGTGTTACTGACAGTCATGGCTTGAAACATATACAGTGTAAGGACAGTTTGAATATCAGAGAAAAAAAGGCAAATTTTTGTTTTTTGTTCCCAGTGATTTTATGTTTCCATCATTTTTTTTTTGGTTGGAAAATTAAAAAAAATCAAATTAAACTTAAATTTTAGATTTCTTGTTCTGATAAAAAAAAAAAGGTCAAACATAAGCTTTTATTTCATTGTAATCTTTTGTATTTGAAAGTAAAAATTTAATTTTTGTGTTTTCATTTCTTTTTCTGCTTGTTTCACAGCTGGGCTGACATTTTCTGAATGAGAATTATAATCATTATGACCCAAAAAAAACCAGCAAATTGTAGCTTCTGGTATTTCACCTTTAATGTGATCAGCACTAAGATCACTATGCAGGGTTGAAGAATCTGGACAATCCTCTGCCGTACAGGCGTCATTACCCAATGGACACACATACACAGTTGATGCTATTAAAGCTGGGACTACAACTGTCTGAAAAAGGACTACAAAAATGTAACAAACAGCCGAATTTGCCTATACACAAACCAAAACACATTAAGATACGTACATTTGCATGTGTCTCATTAGTGAAACAGTAATGTATTTTTGTTCATTTCTACATGATGGGCTGTACTCACACACTCAGTCACACAAAGGATTGTGGGATTATTTGCAGCTCTTTAGCCCCAGATAGGAACATTGGGGGGCCTCTGCATACAGAATTGTTTTCCTGCCTACTTCCTTCCTTTTTTTCCAGCACTATTTTGACAGCTCCTATCATGCTATCACTGCTGCACTTCTGCCTAGGCCTAATTGGTCCTTACCGTTTTGCTGTATTCTGATCAAGCCATCATACTGCTCTTTATGGGATCCATTTTAAGGCCCGTACTTCTTTCTCACCCAACTTTACTTCCTTCTAAAGTCAAAACATTTCCTTCAACGTATCTTTCTCTGCCTTACTGACAAAAGATGATGGATTAAATCTTTCCTAAACTAATTTTAAAATCCACCTATTCTGCTAGCTGCTTGCTAACAGATGTAAAATCCATGTCCAAATCTCCATCAGCTCCATCAGAAAAACCTGGAATTAATTCTAGATTCTGATTTCCAGGTTTAGACCAATCAGTTCCTAAAAATATCAGAAATAGTTTTCTGAATCTAACAATCATCATAAATATAAATCCTTTGTAATAGCCTATAAAAATACATTCTTACCTTCATTACTTTTTTGTTTAATTTTACTTTCTATGTTAATTAATTATTACTTATCTTGATTTTAAGGTTTTGTTGATTATTTCTAAAGCCCTAACGAAGCTACAGAAGCAGTCCAATGTTTTCTGCAGCCCATCAGCACCAAAACACCTCTTAGGCCGGCCAGGAATAGGGATGTCGTTCATCTGTGTCTAGTTTTTATTCCTTTTGTTGTGTTTATCTATGCATTGGGACGTTCCTGATGGGCATGTCATTTTTTTCCCCTTGCTGATCTTGTTAATATCCAGCCGTCACAGAGAGCTTTTCATTCCGCACAGAGGTCCTACATGTACCGGGGATCAATTTGCAACCAGTAAACAGACAGAGCCTTTCATTTTCTGTCCTCATTACATCCCTGCCTCATTCCAAAATCTCATTTTTTTCTCTAAAGTCTGTTTCTGTGTCTGATTTACACAATGCTTTCCGGTGTATGTTTTTTCAAGTTTTAATTTTAAATCTCCATTTGTTTTTGATGATTTAGAGCACTCATGGGCAGTAAAAAAAGTACATTTGAAAAGTTGTTAACGACCTGCTTACTTTGAGAGATGGGTTTAACAGGTGTGTGATGTTTAAGGTGGCTTGTTTTGATCAGGTTTTCCAGATCTCTCCCTGAGCCTTCAGCCTGGGGGCCCTCTTCTACGGCGACTGACCCCGGCCGCCGTTCTTTGTCCCACCTCAGCTCGCAGAGCAGAAAAAGCAGGCAGAGATAATGGACTTCAAGTCGAGGTAGTAAACAGCGGCATCAGCTTCAAACCGACTGACATTTTCCAGCTGTGCGGTCTGTACTTATGGCGTGTGTATTTTTACACACATCTGTCAGTGCTGCCTTGAAATGTCCAACACCAGGAATGCAAACAGCGGGGCCACTCTTGTTTATGTCTTGCCTTGTGGCTGCTGTGGGCACTGGCAGGGCTCGTGGTGTAGTGGGCTCACACGTGCTTGGAGCGGACTACCTCAACTCTGCAGCAACTTTATTTTTCATTGTTTAATTCCCCTGTTTTTCATTAAAAATCACCTCCTGCTCTGAGTTCTTCTAAGTACCAGCCTAATTAGATGTAAATAAGGAGAAGAGGCTCAGGGTGCTTCACCTAAAAACATGTTTTATAACAGCAAACTAATTAAAAACCCTATCTAAAATTGGATATGATGCAAAGATCGTCTTGTTAAGGTATCAGCTGCATTGTGTATCTTCAAATATTTGAGAATACATCGTCTCATTCTAACACCACACCCTCCAGCTTCACCCAGTCCTGCATTTTTTTTTTGTTTTTGTGTTGTTTTTTTGCTTCTCTTCTTGGCAAAACAAGTTACGGTTTCATTTTATGATTGTGTCAATAAAGGAAAGTGAGAGAGGAAGAGAAGGAGGGAGAGAGGAGCATGAAAGGAGCCTGGGTCATCGGTTTCACTCTGCCCTCTTTTACCTTCCTTGCTCAACCCTGATGCATCCACAATCCAAACCTCCCTCCCTCGCGGGGAGGTTCATTTGGGAATCAGATGCAGGAAAAAAAAGCTTGAAGGATCCACGTGCTTCAAAATCTGTGATTGGTGTAAGTGATCAACAAGCAGGCTCTAGTGAACATCTTCATATTTCATTTATAAGATTTAAAAAGTCAGCAAGTAGAAACTCCAGGTTATGAAGGTTGCAGTGAAACTTTGTTGTTTCAAGCTTTTCTCCAGATAATATTTATTTTTGGTTTGGCTTTTAATAGCAGGTCCAGATATCATATTACCTATATTATATTAAAGAGGTTCTGGTCAGATGTTTACACACACTCATCACATATGTGAAAATCCCAATAAATTATCTGAGCTGTACTTTCTTGGTTGAAATGTTTGTACGACGCACAACTTTAACAGGTTTCAAAAGCAAACACTGGGTCTACAAGCTCGAACGTGTCAGGAGTTTTTTTTTTATCCAAACAAGTTCACAATCACACAAACAGGCTCAAATAGATGCATACAACCCTATAACATTTGGACAAAAATTCCCTGAGCTATCCTAGTGTATCAGCTAGAAACCATACACTCTTATGGACAAGCTTCTGGCCTCTTCCTGGTTAAATATATTTCAAGACTCTGCTGACCAAGAATAGCAAAGGTCATTTAAAGTGGTTGGTTTCCTGGCAAAACCATGTATCTTAAGTTGAATGTATTCATGTCATGTTGATTTAGGTCTGTACCATTCAAAAGGATTAAAAATATGCTGCTGAATCACTTTCAAAACTAGTTTTACAGTCCATATTCTATCAGAACCCCCAGTTATGTTTTAAGTTCCAACATAACTAACTAACTATCTA